CCTGCACATGGCCAAGCAGTGTCACTTCCGTGCTTTCCTGTGTAGACCGAACAGATTCTCCTTCTGGCAATCACCAGACTTCTCCTGAGGATGGTGACAGTGCCCTCCCATTGTGTCGTCACACAGCCACAGTTCGGTTGGCATGCACACTGCACAGTCTCTGCTCCTAACACAATGAACGGACGGCCACTGCTAGCCTCTGCCATGGAAACTGCGACTCTTTGTCTGTATTCATCCTCCTGTTGTGTCATCACACAGCTTCAGTTAGGTTGGCATGCACACTGCACAGTCTCTGCACCGAACACTACGAAGGGTTGGCCACTGCTAGCCTCTGCCACGAAACTGCGACTCTTTGTCTTGTATTCTTCCCCCCCCCCCCCCCCTGCCGCCGTGGCCTTGAATTGCCATGTTTAAATACAGGTGCGCATGTCAGCCAGCGATCCTACTGCCATGTCAGCAGCATCCTCTTTCAGTGTTCCTTGACTTGCCATGTTTGAATACAGCCGTGCACATCAGCCAGCGTTCCTACTGCCACGTCAGCCAGCGTTCCTACTGCCACGTCAGCCAATGTCACCAGGAAGCTATCATCGAAAGTTTGCGTCTCTACTGTGTGGACTATCCCCCCCTGCCGTCACCCCCTAATTGCTTGCCTGATATGTCGCCGTGGCCTTGACTTGCCATGTTGAAATAGAGCTGCTCACGTCAGCCAGCGTTCCTACTGCCATGTCAGCAGCATGCCATGTGTCATCAACCAGGAAGCTATGATCGAAAGTTTGCGTCTGTACTGTGTGGACTATCCCCCCCTGCGGCCTGCCGTCATCCGCCACATCCTCTTTCAGCATGTCCCGCATGGCGATTTGGGCACGCACCTACTGCAACTCCAGTCGGACTTCCCTCTTCCTTGGCCGGCGAACGATAAACCCAGTAGCCTGAGGAGGAAAATAGAGTCCCATTTGAACCGCATGCAGTGCACGGTACAGGAGTTAACCATGTTGAAGGAACTCGGCAAAATGACTCCGTAACTTTGGGAGAAGGAGTGCTTTTCTTTGCAAAAACAGACAAAAGTGGCACATAACAGGGGCTTGCACCACCAGGGCGAATTGTTGCGGACCAAATCCTGCAGCAGGTCGATGCCCTTGCTTTGGCTGATCCCCTCCCAACACCGTCGTCGTCATCTGCCCATAGAGAAGGACTCAATAGTGAGGGAACCCAAGACGCCTGCTCAAGGCCGCTCTGTGATGATCCACCTGAGATCCGGTTAGCATGCGGGTTGCATGCATTGTGTTGTGAGGATTATGAAGGCACAGCTCGTGCGAGTTTTTGTTTTCATACGTATGATGACAGTCAGTTTTGTATTCACGTACGGCACCCTGACATGTCCTGTCCAATTTGTAGACAGGGAATCGAACGTCAATGCCTCTACAATTGCGGCCGTCGCTCCTCTGTGTTCGTAGCATGTGGGAGCCACGTGGCCTGTGACATCTTCTGCAGCAACTGCGACTGCGAGAATTGGATGCAATGCTTCCACAGACCACACCCAAACTGGTGCTGTCCGCTCTGAAGGGGTGGGCCCTTACGATAGCCCACGGGTACTCCCTAACACAAAATCTCCAGCAGCCTGAATACTGACTGACCTCTCATGTCATTCTAAGAATGGTCTGCTCCCGTGCGTTCTCTCTCTCTCTCTCTCTCTCTCTCTCTCTCTCTCTCTCTCTCTCTCTCTCT